AAGCTATCTGATGATGTACTATAATAACAAAATCAAGAAACCAGTACCAGCAAAGTTCTGTTACCAAAGAAGTGGAAGACATCATTAAAACAAGTTAAAATACTGTCGTGCATTGAATTGTGCCCACCAAAAATATGTGTCAACTTGCTTAGGCCATGATTCACAGTATTGTGTGGTTGTCCTCCATTTTGTGATTGTAATTTTATGTTAAAGAGGATTAGGGTGAGATTGTAACACCCCTACTAAGGTCACATCCCTGATCCAATGTAAAGGTAGTTTCCCTGGGGTGTGGCCTGCACCACCTTTTATCTTACAAGAAATAAAAGGAAAGGAAACAAGTGGGGTGAGGGGGAACTCATATTACCAAGAAAGCAGTGCCAGGAGCAGAGTGTGTCGTTTGAAGCTGGGGTTCCTGTGTGGAGAAGCTCCTAGTCTAGGGGAAGATTGATGACAAGGACCTTTCTCCAGAACTGACAGAGAAAGCCTTCCCCTGGAGCTGACACCCTGAATTTGGAATTCTAGCCTACTAGACTGTGAGAAAATAATTTTCTCTTTGTTAAAGCCATCCACTTGTGGTATTTCTGTTATAGCAGCACTAGATAACTAAGACAAATACTGATGTCTACAAATTGTAAATTCTATTTTAATGCACATCTCAAAAAATTATTTTAGAACAATGATTCTCAAAGTGTGGTCCAGGGGCCCCAGAACCCCCAGGATCTGCAAGACTTTTTTAGGGCGTTGCCAAGGTCAAAACTATTTTTATAATAATACTAATATGTTATTTGCCCTTTTTCTCTCTCATTCACTAATGAGTGTTTGGTGGAGTTTTCCAGAGGCTATGAGGCCTGTGATATTGTAACAGATTCAATGCAAAGCAGATATGAGACTCCAACTGTCTTCTACTGAGCCAGATAATAGATTTAGAAAAATGTGAAGCAATGCTAATCTTCTTACTGACTGATTCTCTTTAAAAGCATACTTTCATGCAAAATAACTATATTTTAAAAGAGACTCAAAGTATGTTATTTATGTTAAGAAGCAACGAGCTTATCATTTTTACTGAATAAATAAATATTCTTAAATGTTCAAGCTTTTCATTTCTAATATGTAAATATCAATAGATATAACCCACATGAACAAAGTCTTTGTCTTTGGGGTTCTCGACAATTTTTAAGAATATAAATGGATCCTGAGAACAAACAGATTAAGAACCACTGTTCTAGATAGAGAGGATATATACTAATATAATAATAACATAATAATTTAATCTAAAACTTCAGATTATATAAACAAACTTTAAAACTAGAGTAGGGCAATTAAAATAACTGGGTTGAATTACTTGTTTCAAAAAGGTAAACTCAGATGACATGGTTCCACATAGAATATTACAATTTAGGAAAACGTATGTTAGAGGATTCACTGGAAAACCTAAAAGTAACTAATAGAGTCAAAATGGGACTATATCTCTTACAAAAGAATGAAAAATAAAGAAACATAATCTGTTTTCCTTGAACAGAGAAAACAAAGTAAACAAAGAGGCATAAGATATAAAAAGTACCCCAAAATCATAAGGAAGAAGAGCAAAAAAATCACTGTGGTCGAGTCAACTCTAGTGATGCATGTGTTTATCAGAGCAGAACTGTGATCCATAGGGTTTTCAATGACTGATTTTTCAGATGTAGATCACCAGGTCTTTCTTTCAAGGAGCCTCTGTTATAGCAGCCGAGTGTGTTAACCATTTGCACCTCCCAGAGACTCTGTCTTAGTTATCTAGTGCTGCTATAACAGAAATACCACAGGTGGATAGCTTTAACTAACAGAAATTTATTCTCTCACAGTCTAGGAGGCTAGAAGTCCAAATTCAGGGCACCAGCTCCAGGGAAAACTTTCTTTTTGTGTCGGTTCTGGAGGAAGGTCCCTGTCATCAATCTTCCCCTGGTCTAGGAGCTTCTCAGCACAGGGACCCCGGGTCTAAAGGACGCACTCTGCTCCTGGCGCTTCTTTCTTGGTGGTGTGAGGTCCCTCTCTTCTCTGCTTGTTTCTCTCTTGTTTCTCTCTTTTATATCTCAGAAGAGATTGACTCAAGATACAACCTAATCCTGTACATTGAGTCCAGCCCCATTAACATAACTGTCTCTAATAATGCCTCATTAACATCATAGAGCTTAGAATTTACAAACACACAGGATAATCACATCAGATCACAAAATGGTGGACAACCACACAATACTGGGAACCATGGCCTAGCCAAGTTGACACACATTTTTGGGGGACACAATTCAATCCATAAAAGACTCCAAATACAAAGATACATGTCATGTAAAGCACATTAAATGACCATTTTAGAGTATAAATGGTCAAAATAGAATCTAACTTTAAGAAACACAACAAAGACGAAATGACATTAAATATGTTAAAAGTCAAAGATGGTCAACTTACGTTAAGCAAATGCAAACAAGACAGAAAGCAAAATTCATGGTATATGGATTTTAAAAGTAAAATTTAAGATTACTAATGAACAAATCTTTCATGGATGTTAAAAATCATTTCAGTTTCCTTCTTTAACTCATCAGGCTTTTTTTTTTTTGTTGGTTTGTTTTATTTATTTATTTTTATTGTACTTTAGATGAAGGTTTACAGAACACATTAGTTTCTCATTAAACAGTTAGTACACATATTGTTTTATCACATTGGTTAACAATCCCACAACATGCCAACACTCTCCCCTTCTCGAAATGGGTTCCCTATTACCAGCTTTCCTGTCCCTTCCTGCCTTCTAGTCTTTGTCCCTGGGCTGGTGTGCCCCTTTAGTCTTGTTTTGTTTTATGGGCCTGTCTAATCTTTGGCTGAAGGGTGAACCTCAGGAGTGACTTCAGTACTGAGCTAAAAGGGTGTCCGGGGGCCATACTCTCAGGGTTTCTCCAGTCTCTCTCAGGCCAGTAAGTCTGGTCTTTTTTTGTGAGTTAGAATTTTGTTCTACATTTTTCTCCAGCTCTGTCCAGGACTCTCTATTGTGATCTCATCAGGCATATGTTTAAAAAAGGAAGAAAAATATATAGGATCTAAGTAAAAAAAAACAAGCAAAATTAACAATGCTTGGCCTTAAACACTCAACAACATACTATGTATTTAACCCTGAATTAGTCTAAATCAACAGTAATAAGAAGAAATCGAACAGGTTACATTCTCTGTCTATGAAACAACATTACAGTAAATCCAAATTTTAAAACAAAAAAAAAGATTTTTAAAATAATTTATAGAGATTTAGGAAGTTTGTTATCCTGATTTCAGCTCTAGCACGTAAAGAGCTTGGAACTTGACACTCCCATCCTCACAACAAGAAAAAAGTTGAACAAATTAAAATTAGTGACTTTTCTTGTACACATCTGAGAATTGAAGTCACAGAGCAAACCGTCACCCCGAATTCTGGAGAGACAGGTGACCCGGAGAAGCACAGCCAATATCAGCTTGCCTGGAGCAGAAGCCACTGGAGCCATACACTGGTGGACATACTGAAATAGTAAGTTTGATGAATTGCAGGGACCAGAATGTGAACTAGCATGAGAATGAGAACCTCCTGGGGGCCACAATTTCAGGGGGCTCTCAAACGGTTATGGGTTTTACCTCCAGAAGCTCTACCACGTTCTCACAGTGAAAAGCTAAGAAAAATCGCTCATGGTTCTGGCAGGGAGAGGGTTAGAGAACCCTTTTTGAAATATCTCAGGACTTTCTCCACAACAGAGGCCTGTTCTCCAAGGGAAAACAAAGCCTTATCTGACCTGGGAAAGGACAATTGCCAAACTCCAATCCCTTTTAGCCTGGCTGTCTCAACTAAATGGTGAGGTCCAAAAACAAAAACCCTCTGCGTGGAGTTGAGTCCATTCTGAATCATCGTGACTCTCTAGGACAGAGTAGAACTGCCCCATAGGGTTTCCAAGGCTGTAAAACTTTATGGAAGCAGACTGCCACATCTTTTTACGTAGGAGAGGCTGGTGGGTTTGAAATGTCAACCTTTTGGTTAGCAGCTGAGAGCTCTAACCACTGAGACACCAGGGATCCTCTGAGGAGACTAGGGAAGAGAAAATTTTTCCATACAGTTTTACACTTTTTAAATTTTTAAAAACAACAACATATTACTGTATATGCATTTGTCTTATATTTATAAAAAAAAAAAAAGCTCTCATCCTTCTAATACCCCTTTCCCTCTAAAAGAGCAGTCTACACTCACCACCTGTTTGCATCTGCCTGTGTCAGGCCCTGTCCACTTTCACTTCCTCCTGCCAAGTGTTCAGAGGCAATGAGTCAAACCTGGGGCTCAGGGCTGCAGAGATGGGCTCAGAGCAGAGCTGGCCTCCAACCACGTGGGCTGGACAGAGTTTGAAAATGTCAGATATTTGGTTTGGATTTCAATTGTTCTAAAAAGATCTTTTCTGGCCAGAGCTGTCATTTGGGGTGGGGATAAAGGAGGCCTGGGGGAAATGACAGGGTTCAGAGATCATGAGGAAACATCCAGTGCCGCAGCAAAGCCTCAGAAAGAACCCCAGAGTTCAAATGGTGCCAGCCCAGCGGGGTAGCGGTTACAAGGAAGGAAGAGGAAGGAAGAAGAAAGAAGCAGGTGATGTGAATCAGGGTGGTCTTAAGTTTCCCCAGCAGCTACCCCACTGCAGTGTTAAAAATCTGATGTCCTCGTTCTTTTTCTATCTCCTTCTATTACATAGCTGTGGAATGAGGCTGGGTAGAAATAAACAACAAATGAAAATGCTGACATTACATGAAATGAAGCAGCCCTGGTGGTGCGATGGTTAAGTACTGGGCTGCTAACCCAGCCAGTGGCTCTGTTGGAGAAAGACCTGGCGATCTGCTCCTGTAAAGAGTACAGCCTAGAAAACCCTGTGGGGTAATTCTACTCTATCACACGGGTGGCTATGAGCTGAACTTGAAGGCACCCAAGAAAAACAACAATCAGAGATAAAGGACAAGGAGAGATGAAGACTAACCTGACGCTGAGGTCGCTGCCCCCACCTGCCATCTTCCGCTCCTGGCCCTGCTGAGCCATGGAGCCGGGCCTAGGGTCATGCCCAGTGAGGAAGTAAAGCACCAGCTCTAACTGCTCTCCTCAGCTCTGACAAAAAAGTCGACCAACAGCCCCGCCTTGCAGAAAAGAATTGCCTAACAGTATGACGTGACTGCACAGAGAAGCTTGCCCGCCCTCCCTCCCTCCAATCTCCAAGACGTTTCTCAGCCCCAGGGAGGAGGAGCAGGGCCCAGCTCCAAGAGTGCAAGGAAGACAGGGGACCATTTGTTCATGCAAAGGTTGAAGTTGTTTCTAGGTGAGGTGGCAAAGTTACACGGTGTTATGGATTGAATTGTGTCCCCTCAAAAGATATACTGACTCCTAACCCTGGTACCTGTGAGTGTGACTTTGTTTGGAAATAGGGCCTGTGAAGATGTTAATCAGTGAAGTTAACAGGAGGTCATGCTGGAGAAGGGAGGGTCCTAATCCAATAGCATGAGTGTCCTTGTAAAAAGAGGAGAAGAGACACAGATGCACAGGGAGACCCCATGTGATGGTGGAATCGGAGATTAGAGTGATGCGGCTACAAGCCAAGGAATGCCAATGATCGCCGGCCATCGCCAGGAGCTAGGAGAGAGACATGGAACAGGTTCTCTCCCAGAGCCCTCAGAAGGACTCAACATGGCTGACAACCTGATTCTGGACTCCCAACCCCTAGAACTAGGAGACAATAAATTTCTGTTCTTATAAGCTACCCAATTTGTTCTTGTATTTGTTAGGACAGTAACAACATATAGGACACTAACACATATGGGGAGGAAGTGCTCCGTGTTGGCCCCTTCCCCTTGCCCGCATGGTTGTGGGCAGGATAAGAGAAAACCACACTTTTCAAATCTGCTCTCAGGCCTATGGGCTGCCCGGGCACATTGGTGAACCTCGATGGGCGAGTTAGGCCTCTGGCGCTCAGATATGGGGCTGGGGAGAGCCGAAATGCCTGCTTTATCAACCTGGGAGGATGTTCTTAGCTTTCTGGAAAGCAGCCAGGGAAGAAACAGAGAACTCTCCCAGCTAATGCAATCAAAGCAAGTGCCGAGTCTGGGCAGAGAAGTCTAATGTTCAATTTTAAGTTTTCATGCACACAGAGCCAGGTTACAACTGCAGCCAGGGGCGATTAAAAAACTGAGCTTCGAATATTTCACTGAAATCTTCGAGAGGGCAATAGGCTTCTCACCAGATGGGGAAAGGGGTTGAACTGAGATTGTCCAGACCTTAAATCACAGGGTGATCTGGTCGGCAGGCGTATTACACTTATGTTTGTATACTTTTTTTTCACTTATCCAGCCATCATTTTGCAAAGGATTTGAAGCAACTTACAAAAACACACTGTATCAGTACATACACGAAAGATACAGAAATGGGAGCAAAGGGCGAATAAAGGGCGGGGGTGGGGGGCATAAAACAGACCAAAAAACAAAAACCAAACCCTTTGCCATTGAGTTGATTCCAACTCATAGCAACCCCATAAGACAGAGTAGAACTGCCCCTTAGGGTTTCCAA